TGGCTGAGGTCCACTTCCTCCCCATTGCTAGGGTGGGAGCAGTGACTCTCACTATGGGGTCCCGGAAGTCCGTGAATGACATCTCAAGCCTCACTTTTGCACATTTAAACTCCTCTACCAGGCTAGGGATAGGCAGTTTTATTTCCAATATGTTGATAGTGTTAATTTAGTATTTCCATTAAAAAGGCTTAGGGTTAGGGTTTGATGGAGCTACGTGGACAGGGGGGGACTAAACTATGTAAACCAAAAAACATGCTGTTTAAAAATATACTGTTTGTATTCCTAAAAAAATATGCAATTTTTCCGTTTCGGCAAATGTCCTTAGCTCATATTGTCCTGGGAACCTTTACTCGACCTTACTTCACCTACTTTGAAAATAAAGGCTTAAAGTTTAACAGATATACTTAAGGTCTACTCAAAACTCTGCGTCAAAGGACCTGAACACAATAAGACATATTTGAGATGATCATATCGGATAAGAAATGGATGGTAATTATCAGTTAACATCTCTGAAAATTAAAGCAAAATGTGAAATATGAACCATTCATTTTCTTTTATTTATTTTTGTTTGACATTTTTTCATTACAGAGTATAAACTGACCCCCCCCTCCAGAACAGTCCACTGCTTATTTATTTATCTATCCATAACTTCAAATCATGTTAGCCTGTATGCACATCCATGAAGGGAATATTTTTTATGTAAAACACATTTTAAGCCTGTCTAATGAAAGAAATGTCCAATATTACAGCTCTCTGCCTGTCCGTGTTTCCTACAATCAGATGACCACAAAGTAATATCATATTTACATCCTTTGTCACTGTTCTTGTATCTTTTGATGGAATGACAAAACAACAACAGCAGCAACCTACAGAGTATGCACCCACACACACACACACACACACACACACACACACACACACACACACACACACACACACACACACACACACACACACACAGGGACGTTAACACAAAACAGATGGCCTCATCCCATGTAACGAGTTACTCCACTGCAAAATCTTTGTGTAGCCATCAGAAGCATGAACCATAGTTCCTGAATAGTTGGCCTCTGGTGACCTTGACCCATTCTGGTTTACGTCACTTTGTGGGAACACCACAGCCTAATTCTGCCTCTTTGTTTTCTTCCCTTGGTGTCTCATAGAGCCCACAGATTTCTGCAGGAAAAACACTCAACAGTAGCAAACAGCTCGTGGGACGTCCTTGCACATTCCAGCATCTGGAAACATCCTAACAAACTGTCACAGGGTCCAAGTAGTAGTTAACAGGAAGACATGAGTGGATATAAAACTAAAAGATCACACATACAGAATGGGAATAACAAGCGAATTACTTTTTTTTTTTTTTTTAAATGAAAGGTATAATGTGTTAACCTGAAGTGAGTGTAGGAGTCAAAAAAGAATAATAACAATAAAATGGGCAAATTTATTTCTGTCTTCATGTAAGAGTAGATAAATTACTTAGAAATCAGTATTTTATTTACTCTAACTTATAAATATATTTTACTTTTTGGGTTTGAAAAGATGAAGCAGTCCTGATCTGTGGTTTCCTCGCGCACCACACTGTGGCTGAGTGGGAAAAAAGGGAAACCTTGTGGGCTTTTTCTTCCTGGTTTTGGAAGATTGAAAGTATTTTGAATGGTTGCTGTCATGAAATCGAGTGGTGCTTGAGGACACTGGTGATGCTGTGTGGCTGGGATCTGTGGCTCATTATAACTATTATCTTTAATTCAGATTATACTCCTCACATAACAGGACTGAACAGTTTTCACTGGATAGAAATGGGAAATCACTGTCTGCTGACAGAAATAATAAAAAAATCATGCACTATCCGTCAGAAAGCATCATAACTTCATTAATTTATTTACTGATATTATTTAAAAAAAATAGTATTATTACTGGAATGAGAGACATATACTAACAGTGTGCAGTTGTCAATCTGTTATTCATGTGTTCTGATTGCAAACATTTTTCCATATAGCATTAAAAGATTTGGGGAAATGTGGATCATGGATTCTCTTTACCCGTTACTACCGTCATATATTTCTGATGAGAAAGAAAGTTAGTTTAGAGACGACATGAGCTGAAAAATAAAACAATTTTACAAAGTTTGTAGAGCATGTTTTATGCTTTTCCTTATTTTATGTTACAAAAGGTAGATACACACTTTAAACATGTCTAATGTCCAGGTGATGACATCATTGTATGTACAAGTAGTCCATGTAAGCAAATCCAAATGCTCTAGCAGAGTCCAGGAATAAAAATATGGAACTTGAAAAAGTAAAACTTGAAGTAGCAGTAGTCTTAATTTCAGGAGGAGTTATGCACTGTTGAGTTATTTCCTTGCTGAGGGAAGATTCTGTTATGTCCCTCTGTTTCAGTGTTTAAGCTAACAGCCTTGTGGCTCTAGCTTTACTCTAAAATGACTGTGGTAACAACTTTCTCATGTCCAGCAGGATAACAAAGACAATATACTAAGAAGATTCTTTTTTAAGCACGACAATGTAAGCAGGAAGTCCTCCTTATTTCCGGCATCTCACATCATCTATGTGCAGTCTATACACTAGTCACCCACTGTGGAAGAAAACATGCTCAAGTGGAAAAAAACAGAGACCGTGTCAGTGCTCTGAATACAGGTTAACACGATCAGTCGATTGACTGCAAGCTAAAAGTTGCCTCTCTACAGCCTTCTAAGCATCTGTGGGGCTTCTTGTGGTTGTAGGTTGTAAAATTAAAGTCCTTGCTGACACAGACATAAACACCAGCCGCAAACACTGCCTGCTTCAATTAGCAGACATGTGCATTTCCAAACGAAACCACTGTCTCCTGTACAGGGAAAATCAATGGCTGACACTGACACTGGCAGCAGCCCGTAAGAGCTCCACGTCATCAACACAGCTTTGGTTTCTCTGGACGAGAGAGCAATGATTTTATTACTTACCAGGGAAATTTTAATGTGCAAACTCTCAGGCATGCCGTACATTCACTTCTAATTATGTACATGTTTGTCAGAATTAGAGGTTTTAATAGGTGGTTCTGTGGATGTTTTTGTCCCGTTTGTGCATTTTTCTTTTTCATGATGGAATTTTACCACACAGCCCAACAGATTAAACGCGCTATCCTTGTAGATATTAACTTTAAGCACCACAGACGTGCGAGAGTTGGTGTGAGAATTACTGTGTGAGTGGAAGGCTGATATGAGTATATCTGAATTTAATTATTTTATTTTTAAGTATACAGTTTTGAAAAAAGTAAACACATCGGCAAAGATATTAGAATGTCATCACCATGTAAATATTACATTATTAGTACATTATTAGTACATTATAGTACGTGGATTGCACCCATTGAGCACTTAAGTGATAGCTGAAACTAATAAGATATTTGTATAACCGATATTGTGCAAAACAAGTGGACAAACTTGATCGGGAAATTACACACTTAAAAATCGTAGATAAAAGAAGCTTAAAATATTTTAATAAGCTTTAAAGTTCTTAAAGGTTTTAAAAGGATTTTTTGTTGGTCTAGACAAGCTAACTATCTACTTCTGCGGTTTGGCAGCTGGGTGTCTCAGTGCTCACCAACCCAGTGTGCATCGTCACACCTCGCTAACATCACCTCAGTCTGTTAGCCTAACATTTACATTTACATCAGTTGAGAACACACAACTACCATCATTTTAATCCACCCAGCTAAACATGTTCAGCAAACAGGAGCTCAGAGGTTGCTGTTAGACTACATCCCTGTCCTCTCTGGTGGATCTAAACTAGAAGAATACTTGATTTCTAAATAAACAACTACATACATACATCCCTGTGGATTCATATATGTTGAACTGGCTGATTTATGAAGCTGTTAAAAACTACATACTCGTTTGACACCCCCTAAAATCATAGTAATGGCTTTTGTGCCTTGACCCTTGAGCAGCTGTGATTCCCCCCCTCCCTTTTTTTCAGGATCGTTTTTCACACCTTTTGTAAAAGCTTCCTTTTTATCTGGTGCCATCAAGAGGCCAGCATTCTTTCAACCAATACTTTTAATTTATTTCTTCAAATACTAAAAGTTCTTGATTTTATGCTGTTCACCAGCAGTTGTTGTTGCATGTCTGCACGGACATTGTTAGCACTGCTGTGTCTGTGCAAACCATCTTATTGTCGATACTAGCTTATATTGTTTCCCAGCCTTCCCTTATCCATGATCTAGCTCGGAAAGACTTTCTTAGTAAACATGGTCCATGGGAAAAAATATAGTTAGAGGAGTTTTGATGGGATCTACAAAGTTTACTCTCCCACAGCTGTGAGAGCCGTCATTACTCATGATCATGATTCAGATAAGCAGTTAGAAAAATGAATGAATGGATGTATGAAAATAAATGGGTTTGCCACAAACACAAACTGAATTCTGGTATGGGCTGATGTTTGCACGTATGCACTCTTTATGCTTTCTACCCTTGAACAATATGTTTAGGCCTGTGACATCACAGTCTAATGTAGTAATGAACTTCGCTCTTCAAATGCAGGTATCTTCTGTTGGTATTTAGGTGAAGCTGAAATGTCTAAGATTCTTGTGCGTTACATATCAGTGCATCTACAGAGCTGTGCATATATTAAGTATTGGTGGTTTCATGGATACCAGTATTGTGGTCGATGACATTCTTGAGAATGGAGTCCATGAATGCTTTGAGTGCTAATGGATCTTCGCTGCACTCATTGGTCGGGCTAAATATTGATCAGGAATCCACTATTGAAAGCACTCAGTAGTTTACATTAAGCTGAAATAGCAGCTAATCAGGGAGATTCTGGTGTTGAATTTCCAGTTAGTTTGCTCTCATTGGTGGAATCTGATAAACTGAAAAGTTTTCTCAAATTGATCCCAAATGAGTGTTCAGGGAAAACAGCGTTATATGACTGTGATCTTCAAAATGCTCTAAATAAAATGCAATGATAGCACGAACCAAACATTTAAAATAGCTTTAATTATTAGACACACTCGTATAATTTACATACTTCATGATATATATCGCCCACATCAATGAACATAATCTGTTAATTTTTGAACATTTTGACTTTACAAGGAAAAAAAGACAAACATTTTTTCTAGAAGGCATATTGCATAACAAAATAAAGCTTAACTTTATTGATTCAGCTGAACTGCAGTCAGTCTCTCTGGCCTTTGTCTTTTTATCCTCTAGATTTTGTTTAGCTTAAGTCAGGTTTTGGACCTGGGTCAGCACCCAGCATGCACCCAGTAGGGTTTGATTCAGTTCTCTTGCATTTACTTTGAACATTCTGAGATATGAACAAATACACAGAAACATGAGACTAAAATATAAAAGAACCTTAAAAGAAGGAAATGCTGTCAGCTATCTAGAGACCCATATCAGTCCCAGGATAAATTGTGCTTGGGTGTTGTGTATGCATAAGAGGAAGGAAGAAAACAGCAAGACTCTGGGAGTGGAAGCTTCCTTTTAGCTGCACGCTGTGCACTCGGCTCACTGTTTATCCGCTGACTCTGCCTCCAGAGAGACACACCAGTTTGCCTTCTCACTTTTCAAAAATGGGTAAAAAATGGCAGAAAAAGGCCTCTTGGGCGAATTTTAGGTGGCTGAAAGAGAGGATAGCTGAGCTTTATACCAAGGGTGAAGCAGGAAATGTCAAAAAAACAGAAATGAGCAATTTCCTCTGCAGCATTCCCCCCAAAATGCAGAATTCGTATCATTTTTAAAGTAATAGAAGAGCAATGAATGGGTGATACTGAATTTTATTTTTGCCTCTTGAGGACACTAAAAGTTCTGTTCTCTGCTTTAAAAAATGGACTTTGGGGCTTTGATGTGGTTATCACTGGGAAGTACAGATCACAATTTTTAGATACAGTGAGAAAGATCTGTGTTTTGCATTTCATGTGTTTAACATACATAGGGGGCTGTCTACAACGATTACATGTGTCACATGTAATCTGTCACTGGTACTCGACAGACTGGATTAAAAATGAGTTCTAAAACAGAATCACTTAAAAAGTATCATATTTTTAAAAGTCTTTTACATTGTTACTAACTACATTTGATACTTTTTTTATGAACTGACCTTACGTATAATGGTCAAATAATTTGGATGTCTGCTGTCTGCATTTATCACAGATTTTATCTCACCTGCTTTCATTTAGACTGTACTGCTATGCTGTTACTGGCACTGCAGTAAACATTGTTTTATGTAGCCACTAGAGCTCAAGCCTGCTTGGCCTCATTGTCATGGCAACCATGTTCGTGTGGGTATCCGCTCGTCTATGTAATCACACTGTTTGTCTTGCACCCAGAATAGCCAGAGGAGGTATTCTGAAGCCAAAAGCACCTGAAGCCAATGCAAACACGTTGCGCACCGGCCATCTGATAAATCTTGGACACAGAGAGAGCAGAAGAGAAGGATTTACGATCTGCCCAGTGATGTTCACCTTCATACCCTATGAAAAATTCTAGAAAGAAAGAGGACATTTCTCTCATTCTAGATTAAAAGTATTTTTCACAAGATTTTCAGAACTTAGTAACACTTCCATTGTTGCTAATGCACACAGCCGTTATCATCTCACTTTAAAAAACAGTCAGATCACAAGCAGTTCCCCCTGGCACCTAAACTGTCAACACTCTCTGCCAAGGAGAGGTTTAAAACATCGTCCATTTTCCAAATGTTCCAACTGTGCCCAGTGAAAACACATTAAACCATTAGAGGACAGAGTATAACTTCAGAAAGACACACTATAGCTTCATATAATGTGTTTTACAGGCTCATTCCCTGAACTAAACGTAGTTTTTTTTCCCCATATGCCTCCGCTAATTTGGAAAAAAAACCACAAACTGGCGGAGCAGACATTTTTTTGGCATGTTGCATAGCTTTACAGCCAGCACATGTTAAAAAGGGAAATGGTTTCAAATGACTTCATGTCTATACTGTGGTCGGAGGATATACCATGGCTGAAGTAACTATCCTGGGATGGAGAGATGCTCTGCTTGGCTTTAGGGATAAAAAAGATGGGATTTTTAACATCTTCACAGTCAGTTCAAGGTTGAGCTTCATCTCACTTTTCCTCCCTAGTCTCGAGGACTAGCCTACAGTCACTGCGTCTGTGGTGCCGGCTGTATGGTGCTGTCTTCGGTGAGAAGGCATTGTGTGCGCATGATGTGTGTTGGCACTGACTGAACATTTCCATGAAACCAGTGTGGTGGTGGAAAGTAGGACGAAAAGAAAAGCAGGAGGAGAGAGGAAACACTTCAGTGGCTAAAACAAATGGAGCTGTTGAGTTTAAGAACATGATTAAATTAGGATGGAGGGAATTGACGCCAAGTCATCACATTCTCTTTTCTAATAGTACACTTGGGAGAATTTTGTATCCAAAATTTGAGCCAGATAGGCTATTTTATCACATATCATTTCATTAATCTAGAATGTCTTTTCTAAATTATGTCAACGAAAATAGAGCTTTTACCAGAAAGCGAACTTGTCCTATCTAGCTAAAGTGACACTGACTGGCAGCAGGTTACGTACAAAAGCTCAGGTCACAACTTGCACGTTTACTCTTTATTATTATCCTATGACAGTTAGTCATGAAATTTTGCCTCCAGCATCTACAGCCAATATTATCCAAGGCCTCAGTAACACAGGCCTACAGACCACTTGCTGACAACCAAGAAAAATGGGTGTTTCATAGTAACATTTATTGCTAAATTGCACTTACGCAGGTCTAGAGCCCGGCTAGCTCCTCGGGTCATCGGAATATAATGTCTATAGCCTGACTGTTTGACAAATGGTTGCTTGATGTTGCTTTTAAATTGATTGCAAAGAGACACATGCTGCTGCATTTAAAACCTTGCGATTACTTTGGTCACATGCAGACCGCCATGGTTACCTCTAATTTGCATGTGAAATGCCAACTTGTCTGCAAACACTTGCTGCTTGCTGAGCAGTACTGAACAGTGCGACACACAAAATACTGTTCACCTCCAAAGTAAAACCAGTCTGTGTCTTCCATACAAACCATGGACAACTGCAGGAGCCTGCTAACTACCAGAGGAATTGCAAGGAGCTGGAGGCTTGAGGCCTGTGCAACTGAGCCTTTATGTAGCTTCCTGTGTGCATTTTTAAACTCCTCCTTACTTGATATTTTTTCCAAAATAAATAAGTCATAGTGTTATGGTCAGTGCAGAAAAATTTTATAGCTAGCAATAGTGAAATGAGAAGCTAACTCTCGTGTATCTGAGCCCCAAACTGCATATGTGGCATGTGAAAATAGAATCTGTGACCATTCAGATACAAAATGGCTGCATGAATAGTCATCTGGTTGTTTCAAAGAAAAATGAAATGTTATGTTGTTATGGAACCAAGATGACTGAAATGTGCAGAAAGTATGAAAAATGCCCATTTGTGTTGGAACCAGTATCAAAGCTCATATTTTATCAACACTCATATTTAATAGTTTCAAACACTTCCAGGCACTGAAAGAAACTGGACAGATTATGTAATATGTTCCCCTCCATTTACCACATGTGTTGCACCATCCCTGCACCATTAACATGAATAACTGCAGACTGGTGAGTGATGTAGTTACATTGTGATGAGTAAGCTGAAAAAATCTGCGATCCTTTGGGATTCATCTATTCTTATTCATACCTGGGAGGCCGGCTGTGTCTTTCTCTCGCACATGCACATAAAAAAAACAGAACAACAATTCCTTCATTAGTAGCACTGTCATCTATTGAAGATCAGACAGTATTATTAAATTTCAGTTGCTGAGAAGAGGCTGCTTATGTAAGCCAGCAGACAGCCTTCAGGAAATATTGCTTTTCTTCACTGATTGTGTTCAGTCTTCCGCGTACTGCTCACAAATCAACCAATAAAGATGTCAGCACAGGGCAAGCAATATCCACCCAGCCAGCATAACACATTTACCAGTCGATACTGAATAGCACACAGACTTTTGGTCTAGCTATTTGTACACGCAAGCAAAGCCCACGGAGAGGCAAAACTAATAAAAGATTATCATCACAACAGTGCAGTCATCTCAGGGAACAAACAGGCATATGTAGTTAAGGTTTACACCAATCAGGCACAACATTTGCTTTAAAGAAAACTAATACAGGTTAGCGTAATTGTCAAAACAGAAGAAAGATTTTCATCCAAAGTCAAGATTTGCCTATAACCAGTCACAACTAGTAACCAGTGCACTGGTAGCTGTACTACAACTCAGTGACTATACAATCGTGCACATGTCTGGTAACGCACTGAAGGGATTAGCTTCACAAAGACACAAATGCTATCACTGGCACTTTTTTTGTTTTTTAATGTGTTAAACTTTTATCTCAGTGCTTCGTCTTCTATTGCAAGTTTGACATATTTTCTAGTGCTGATCAGGAAAGTGTTTGGGGATAAACAGTTGGGGAGAAAATCACATTGTTTCTCTATTTTTTTGTTGAAACAATAAGGCGGTCATTAACCACTGGAAGAGTAGTGATATATTATCAATAAACAAGGATCAATATAGCAATCTTTATTTAGGATTTCAATGAGAGGTTGATTTTACACTATTACTGCTCAACACGTTCTCACTCCCAAAGCATAACACTAGGTGACAAATCGTCAGTATATTATGCTTTCGGCTGCCCAACACGTCCCTATATTATGAGTTTGGAAAACATGAGAACTGTCTGGAATGACTCTACATATGTATGTTTAATTTGTTTAAATCGCACAATCTGGCGCGTAGCTTAGAAACGCGGAAGGTCACCTTTCGCGTTTCCATGGAACGCCTCGGGACGTGACAAATCGTTAGTATATTATGCGTCGGGAGTGACTCTACTACTATCTTATATGCAGTACACTGGGGTTCATAAAAGCTGTTGTTTGTGGAGTGCGGTAGTCATTCCCAACCTCAGGGTCAGGCCCCTTCAAATGGGCCCTGAGGTAAATTTGAAGAGCTCAGAAGAAACAAAAGAGTTAAATACACAAAACATTTGGTTATTTCTCATCACACATTTGCTTTTGATTTGTGAAATACACACAATATGGGCAAAAGTACCGGCCCACCCACACATTACACCAACAGGAGCTGCTCAGCCATTGAAATGATGCCATGAAGCTCCTGGCACACAGATGTTGTGCTGATGTTAATATCACAGGAGGTTTGAAAGTCTGCAACTGCTGAGTCAGATGAGCATTGGTGACTTTTATACCAGGTGCACTTTTAGCAGTTGGTAACTTTATGTGGTCTACCACTTTGAGGCTGTGTTGCTGTGGTTCCCAAACACTTTCGTGTTACAACCTGACGTATTGCAACAGTGGTACAGCGGTATCCTGTTACAGTACCATGCTTGAATTCCTTAGAACAACTCACTCTTTCACAAATGTTTGTAAAGGAAGACTGCATGGTTAGGTGCTTGATGTTATAGAGTTAGAACAATGAAACTAAAAACACCTGAAGGATTAAGGGACTCTGTGGCCCGATACGTTTGTCTATATATATTGCATTAAATCTTCTGCTCTAATACCTCTACAAACTAGTCCAGGAGTACATTTTTTATCGTCTGGCACAGCTACATTTACCTTATTACCCAGAAACTATCACCATAACTGAATAATTTTTCATTTGAAGAGGATAAAAGATAAAAAGTTGGGAATTACTTTCATACAGAATCCACAAAATGTTAAATTGATTATACAAAGTAACTAATAATAACTAGTTTTTGTAAAGGTTCAGAATTAATATATTGGTGGCAATATTGTTCCTAGATTATTTTTTAAAAAGTCAAAGTCAAGGCAAAGTTTCAATTTTGACTTGCCGATAAAGTATGTGTCAAACCATCTGAAGTCATGTTTCAGCTCTCTGGCAGATCGTCTCACTGTGCTTTATTTTTCAGGAAAACAAAATAACGTAAAAGAAAAGAAACTGAAATAATATCAGGGATTGTTAAAAAGACCCTGAGGAAAATCTGTGACACAGGATTTTAAAGTTGATTTTGTGAGGCACCCCTGTTTGGCTATATATGGTCCAAAATCCCTTAATACTGACATCAATGTTTTATAGGAAGTTAGTGCAGTTACAGGAAGGAACAAAAGAAGAAACAGGTAATTGTCTCTCATACCCAGTGTCTTTCACCGGGGAAAGCCCCATTATGTGCCTTTCACAACATCAGTGCACTCTTCTTTTAATCTTCAGTGATCTGGGTTTTGATGTTGCAGAAGGAGTGTTCAATAGTGGCTTTAGTCCCTCTCTGTGATTCTTCTTCTTACAAAAACGTCACATCTTCTTGCGACTGCACCCAGCGCCAGTGGGCGTCGTACTCCAGATGCATTTTGCCATTCATTTTGCACGTGTCCAAGTCAATCTTTCCATTTTTGTAAGGTTTAACTTTGGGGCTCTGGCTGGTTGCCAGTTTCTCACTGAGACAGGTGCGGGTCGGGCTGCCTCTTTGTGTGGTTGATTTCTCCAGGACACCATTAGCTTTAAGGCCTTGTGTTGGAGTACTGACCTTAAACATGGGGCTTCCCTTATCTGTCTCTGCAGTCTTGGTCCAGATAGGAGCACCTTGCTTGAGGCCCTCAGACTTGGCTTGTGGACAGCTGCCAGGAGCTGCTGGCTTCCCACTTTCAGTTCCTCCAGTTCCCTTCCCAATGGCAACATTCCCAGGTCCACCTTTCACTTCTGGAATAATTCCAACCCCAGTACCATTCTCACTTCCCACAGCACTAGACCCGGACTTCAGGCCTAACACGGGCCCTGACACCGCTGCAGTGGCTGTGGCCACGGAGCCTCCCACCATGCGGCCCCCAGCAGTAGCCTCTGAAACTAGAGGTGTGGTGGAGCAGATGACGGATTCGGAGCTGGAAGGGCAGTACTCATCCATGTCGTCTGCCAGCGTGTCCAGGTAGCTGCCAATGGAGATGTTGTCTAGCTTGTCATTGGGGTCCTGCAAGCTGCTCCAGGAGCCTCTCCAAGAGGTGTCGGGTCCCTCCCCCAGGCTGTACTGGCTGCTGGTGAGGCTGCTGCAGCGGCTGGTCAATGTGCTGCGCTCCTCAAACAGCCATTTCACTGCTTCGATGCCCTCGTGCACCGCCAGCAGCTGTTGCAGGATCTTAACGTCCACCGAGCGCAAGTGAGCCTGCGGACACAAAAAAGGAGATATTCTAAATTTACAATAATGATGCATGCTTACTTTCACAGTGGTCATGTTTTGATAGTGTGCAATGTGCAACAAAAGAGAAATCTAAACAGATGTTGAACCTAGGAGACCGCACATATTTATGTAAAGCTGTCAGCTTTGGCTCTAGGGACAAGTGCAAACACCGTTATAATGCTATTAAACTATTCCAGATTACCCTAATTGGAAGAAACTAATAACAGAAACTGCCTGGAGTCCACAATACTAAAAATGGGAAACAAACAAAGTAAAGGTGGAGGGGAAACAAGGTTACAGATGGATATTACAAGGGAATGTGACTGAAGCTGAGTTTGTAGGAGAAGCTAGTGAGAGATGGAAATTTGATACAGTGGAAAGTAAGACGCATTAGTAAAGAAAGTCGAGAAAAAGACTTTTTTTCCTTTTCAGCTGACTTTTAAATGCTGTAAATGGTGCAAAGGATTCAAAAGTTAATCTACAACTTCTGTCATAAATAAATAAAGCAATAATTGCTTCAGCGGGCCTCTAGCAGCCATGGGTATCTTCAAATACAATATGTGTGTGGGAGGATAAGAAAGCTAAATGGTGACTTAGAAGGAGAAAGATGGCTGCAGTCATGGAAAATTCTTCCCTAGAATACATTTGCAGAAGTTCTCAAAGCAAAGTGCAGAGCCCAGAGGTGATATATGGCAACAACATTCAAAGCTCTGACCACTGAGATCACCTCGGCTTTGAGCCTTTGATTTCAAAGTATTCTTCAGTTTCCTCCTTATGTATCACTTTCTGCTGGTCTATTACTGTGCCCCGGGAGGCTGGCTGTATCCCTTTTTGGGAATCATTAAAATTTGTGGTAATTTATACATATTTGTGTATTTCATCTCAGATAATTTTGGGTCAGAAAGACAAAATATACAATTATAGTTTTACAGTCTTTTTATATTTTAATTTACTACATCGCACTGTGAAAAGTGAAAGTCCTGCAAGTGTAACATTATGTATATTCCAGCGCTAACACAGCATTGGGATAATAAACTCCGAGCAGAGGCCTCAGGCCACTAAGATCTTTCTGACCTTTTGGAGTTTAAGTGTAACAGTTTAATTGATCCTTATAAATCAATAAATCAGTCTGATGGAATGAATTGATTGATCCAACCTACTAAGTTACTCATGTTTATCAGTTCTGATGAAAACACTGGCAGAAGAATTAAGAAAGCTGCTCTATGGGGTGTTTAAAAGCCTGACGTTCTTCCATCCAGATGGAAAATGGTGCACGTGAGCATGAATTAATATGTCTCATACTTCGTTTCTATGCATAGGTAGTGGCTGACCTTTGGATAAGCCATTCACTGTTTAAGACCACACCACAGGCTGCTTGGTATAAAAAAAGGAAAGAAAGAAAAAGCTATGGCAAATTCAATCCACTGATGTTGAGTGGTTTTCCTCCATCTTCCTCAGTATCAAACCAGCAGGAAGCTGATCGACATCAGTGGTTTCTAAACTGGGTATTAAGAAAAGATCATTTCTGCCCCGTTTTTTCCTCTAAGACTGCTGAATACTTTGACCTCTTGAATCTTTCTAAAAGTGTGGTTTGACTCAGCTGCAGGAGGGAGAGGTAGGGCAGGATGGTTCAGGGAGCAGAGTCAGGGTGGGTTGATTGGCACAGCTGTCACATACTGGCTCATCAGTCTCTCCTTCTTATGCCGTAACATGCTCGAACCTTGGGCTGCACCACAGGCCAACCACAGAGTCCAGCTCTGTGCATCATGATTAAAAAAACGTAACCAACAATTGTCAAACTCATCAATGGGAAGCAGCAGTTTTAATCACTGCATGCTCAAAGTTGGTTGGTGCCCATCACCTAAAGAATACTAACTTTCTCTTTGAGCTTACCACATTTGCTCAAAAACCTTTTACTTAGTCTGTGCCGTGAAAGATTGAAATGGCTCACGTGACTTGTAGAACATAACCACAGCATGACTAAACCATAACCAGACCTTATCCAGAGTGTAATTTTAACTGTGGAGAAAACACACAAGATTGAACTTATGGGAACCAGCTTTTTTGTTGATTATCACAAGTAAACACAGGCAACACACTTCAGAAGAAAAAAAATGTGGATATGAGATGAAATAGAAGGGTTTCATTTTACTTTCTTTACTGGAGGAGAATTGAGCTGTGTGGTCAATGTTCTGGTAAATGCTGAAGCCAAAGTCAGTGGTTATGCTAAATTACACAGGCAGACACAGCTCTAATACACACACACACACACACACACACACGCACACACACGCACACACACACACACACACACACACACACACACACACACACACACACACACACACACACACACACACACACACACACACACACATATATATATGTATATACAGCTTTTTGTTCATGAATATGTGGGTATGAACCCACCGGCATCCTGGCACACACAAGTTTTGGGGTGGGGCTCAAGGCTTGAGGTTTTTGGCTGGCAGAGACCGAGTGCTTAATGAGGGTGGCAATAAAAGTAGCTCCGTGCCTGTCAGCGCTGAGGTGGCACAATGCTAACAAAGCTATGAGCTCCACCAGTCTATGAACACTTTGCTGCAGAACTACACTGACTTTAACTGTTGCTGTCGCAACAGGTCATTTTTTTTTCTGCGATATTAATTTGGGTAACTTGGGTGGTTGGTTAGAGATGATATTTTTATACTGTGTATTAACCAAATTCACCAATGCATGAAATTAAAACAAGTTATACACCAGAGATGCATTTGAGTATGTAATTTTACACAAGCAGAGGGACCATCTGTGAGTGGCCTTGCTGCCACACCTTAGCTTTTTGGGGGGATAATAATTCTTCTGTAAGGCTACTGCCTCTGAAATACAACTAGATATATGGCATTTGCTCTTAACACAATATCTCAGAAAGTGTTAGTGGAAAATCTTCAATAAAAATGTAAAAGAAATCATCTTTGTCATCTCAACTCTGCATGCCTTCTTTACTGAGGTCACAAAATAGATTAGTTGCCTACAAATCAACATATTAAAATATGCAAAGTTTTTTCGTAATGAAATTTTAACAATGACAGCCACGTGTTCCAGCTTTTTGCTAAAAGTGAAATCCATCATGTTTGTGTCAGCTGTTTCCTGCTTTGTTTGCTCTGCTGCTCTTCAAGTGGGACTTGTTTCAATCCCCACTATATTCATTACTTTGAGACTGATTTGAAGCATTTAATTACACAACAAAGTCAAGCGTGCACATCAAAGAAAGGATGAAAAAGGTCGAAGTGGGGCCAACAAAGTTTAATGTGAATGGGACTAAGCAGCCTTAAGGATTTAATATCATTAATCATGTTTTTTGCATTTCCTGAAACATCGGTACATCGCCAAACACACTCCTGCTTCCTTACTCAGCATGAAGCCACGCACCAGCTGGCAGACCCACAGGTTTCTGGAAAGCTAATTTTCCTGCCTTTTATATTATCAAATAAGACAAGTACCTGCACTCTGCAAACAAGTCAAACTCGTTGTTTCATATTAAAAGATTTCTGGTGCAGAAGAAAGACTTCATTTGTTTTGGATCCCTGCTAAAATCTTTGTAATATTTATCCGCCTCAGGAAATATTTATTACTGTGTAATGAAAGCACAAAAAGTACTGCTTCATAAAGTGTCAAAATATACGTCATAATAACATCATTAGGTATCTTTATCTTTAGCTCTCCACATTAACAGTGAAATAAATAACTTGAAGACGTGTTTCTGGTATCTGATCAGTTAATTAACAAAAAAAAACAAAAAACACAACACAGACAAACCAACAGTGTAAATGAGTACTTGTGGTCTTAAAATGTGCAAATACTGTAGCTGGAGCACACGGTGCCCACAGTGGGACGTGAGGAAAATCTTTTAGCTCTAAGAATATCAACAGAAGAAGACGACTGATGGCAACACTTTATTGTTGAAGGGTTTCCTTCTCTAATGTTGCTTTGATCCCTTTCAGAGTCAACAGAACAAATGGAGAACCGCAATGTGCCCCGAAATGCTTTCAGCGTTCTGAACCTTACAACGAGAACACGTTATAATTGTTGGACAATTTACTACTCTAGATATTCACCTTTTTGACTTTTTTTTTCCTTCAGTACTTTTATGGACACCATTTTCTGTCAAGCTGTGGGGATGAGAGTGTTGAGCACGCGTAGTGATTAATACGCAGAGACCCTTGCAGAGACCCTCTAGTCTCCTCTAGTCTTCTTCCTGTTCTCTTTCAGACATGATGATTGAGTTGGCATTTCATGTTATGTTGATTTTGTTTGTGCACATATGTATGTGTGTGAATAAATGAATGTATATGTGTATTTATTTGTTTTTTTGCTTTACATGTCCGAAATTAAAGTTTATCATCATCATCATCCTGTAGATTGTGATAGGGTATGATCCATGACGCACACTGTCCCATGTGGCTTCCTATCATCTCACAGCAACCTAACAGATTGCTGAATTACTGCCAGCTGGAATACCAGCAACATAAACACAGTCACTGCTCTCTCTCTCTCTTTCGTATCCCCTGGTGCCCGTGTCTGCTGTTTCACCTTCCCAATCTAACTCGGGCCCTCAGACATACTGCGTCCTTGCAGAGACCCTCTAGTCTCCATTAGGCAGCAGAAGGTCAGCCCTGGCCCTCCATAACTCGCCAGCTGCTCCATCTGTCTGCATTCATGTCTGAATGCCATTCTTACTGTTCCTTTTCTTCTTTCTTACTACAGGACAGAATGCTGAATGGCAACATGCGAGATTTCACCGTAAGCACAAGTAAAGCCAAGTGAAGATCACTGTCTTATGAAATAGCAACGCAAACTACAAAGAAATGCTGAATTTTGGCCCTCATGGAGCATAATATGCAAGTCAATGGATACAAAGAGGAGCAGAGGCTCATTCTTCAAAGCTGATGTAGCCCCTTCTCTGTTTGTCCATCTACTTCCTGCAA